AATCAAGTAGTTGATCCATGTTTCTACACACCACTGTAAAGCCCCCGTCCAAAATACCGCTGTTTGGCGTACCAATCATTACTGTAAAGTAACATAATAAAGGAACGTTCGGGTTGAGTTAAAGGGTTTGTTATCGAGGTTCATTTACCTATGAATTTTAAGCTGTATGTAAATTTGGTTCTATAATTGTTTTCCTATAGAGTACCTTATGTCATATGACATGTTTATCGCGAGATCACGATAAAAGTCTCCTCGTGCCCTTCTGTGTGGCCTAACTACGGCGCAATGAAATCCCTTAGTCAACAAAAGCCATGAGCATTTTCAATGAGGGGAAAGTTAGCAAATTGATAGCTGGCAATAGTAGGGGCCTATAAAATCGTTTTCAAACATTTCAAAAGCTTTTGGTGTTCTATTTCATGATGGTAATGGCCAATCGTCTCATTGATGACAAAACATGCTTTTAGCTCAAGTGTTTGTTGAGCCTTTCAGTTTCGAGTCAAATGTCTCGCGTAGTCTCGAAGTGTTCACGTGACCTGTCACCTATGAATGGTGGCCACGCGTTTTGTAGACTGACCAGTAAACTAATCCCTTTGGTTTGTCGAAAGCCCCTGTTGACATGTTTAGTCGTTGGTCTAATTGCTGGTTAATTAATCGGAAGTTTATTATTCCTCGGTATTTATTCGCTTAGATTTATCAATGTAATAGAAGCGTATTGCCACTAAAGTGTCCGAAAATTAATATTTGTTATTTCGTTCCGCTTCTAAACATTTCAATACCAGATTTGTATGTTCCTTTTGATCGACCATTGGGAGTGGAGACGGGAACGAAACGAATATGTTTAGTATCACCTGCTTGTTAATGATCTTTGGTTAATGGGGTATGTTATTAGGTAAACAATTGTAGAATAATGGGGTGGGGTAACAACCTAATAGTATAAACATCGTTATTATATAAGAAAATGTCTGTCCTCAAGAGTGATTAACCTCGCAACCATGTAGACTTCTAGTGCTTATTAGAAATCCTGATTTATTTTACTTTCCGTAAGGTTGGTTGTTTTTTTTTTAACTGTTATTTGCTGTTGTTTCGTTATTATAAAATTGAATTTAGGTTTCTGTTGGTACGGTGAATATTTATATGTCCCAGAGTTATCTACCGTGTATCGAATTTTAAACAGTTAATCGTCTTCGTCTTCTTTGTCTTGGTGTTTGCTTTTGGTTGTTTCTTTTTTTTTATCATTAAAACTGATTTGGGTAGGCCTATCTGCTAGTGTGGTGTCTTTATCGTATTTTTCTTTTTCTTTGCTTTCTTCTTTTCTCTGTTTTAAGAACTAATTGGCGCTCTGGCAGTTTTGCGACAATGTTGTTCTTTTCTTGTGTTTTTTTGGTTTTATTTACTGAAACTAATTTGGGTTTCTGCTAGCCTTCTTCTTCTTCTTCTTCTTGTATATTCTTGTTGCTTAAGGGTGTTTTTTTTTTTTAATTTTTTTTTTTTTTAAAAGCTTATTTGGGTTTTACTCTTCTGCTTTTATGGGTTTTCTGATGGTGTTCATGGTTTTAGCGTTCATTTCTCCTGATTCTTTTTCTCAATCTTCTTCTTTTATTTTCTTTTTATTAAAACTGATTTGAGTTTCTGCTGGTGTCGTGATTTTAGCGTCTACTTCTACTGATTTTTTTTCTTGCTCTTTTATTTTTAAAACCAATTTGAGTTTTTGTTGGTGTCGTGATTTTAGCGTCAACTTCTTCTGACTTTTTTTTCTTTTATTATTTAAACTAATACGGGTTTCTGCTGGTGTTTGTGGTTTTAGCGTCAACTTCTTCTGATGCTTTTTCTCATTTTTCTTCATTTACTTTTTTTTATTTTTTTAATTAAAACTAATTTGGGTTTCTGCTGGTGTCGTGATTTTAATATCTATTTCTTCTGATTAATTTTTTTTTTTTTTCGTGCTCTTTCTTTTCTTATTAATATTAATTTTGGGTTCTACTAGTGTCGTTGTTTTATCTTCTGCTTCTTTTCTTAATTGTTCATTGATTTTGTTTCTTCCTTTCTTTATATTAAAAATAATTTTGGGTTTTTGCTGGTGCCGTATGTAGTTTACGGTTATGGTTTGATTTTTAGACATTTTTACTAACCTTTTCCTCTGCTTCTCTTTCTTCAATCGTGCTCGGGTGTTTTTGACTATGTATATCATATCCTGTCTGACGAAAATAATTAAATGTTTGTTAGGTGAATCAAGGGTTAGCAAGTCCCCTCCCCAGTAATTCATGTATGTGTTGTCGCTTAAAATTGTGAAGTGTCAGTTGTTATCAAATTAAACATAAGGTCAATAGCTTGGAGGCGCCACTTGCCTTATAAAACAAAATATAAAAAGTAAAGGACTACCGGTAGTGTTTACTTTCCATTAATCTTACAGATAATTGAAGATGGCGTCTAAAACCGCCCACAATTTATAAAATATTTCAGGGGAGGCGTCAATGAGCGAGTGAGATATTATTGAATTTATTCATATCGCTTCCATGCCTTGATAGCCTTGTAGGTTTTCTCCGGGTCCTCCGGTTTCCTCCCACTGTTAAAAGCCCCTACGTGCAAACGATTTAATGAAATAAAATTGGCCCATATGTCCCGAAATTACCTAGTTTGTGTCGAGTGGACGTTAAACACCATTTCTCTCTACCTGATATATTTTTCGCTACAATATCAAATTTTTCACGGGTTGATTCACGCAAATATGTACTCAGATTTATTATTTAACATTTAATTAAGAAAACAAAATCAAAATACCAATACTAAATAATGTCCCGTATTGGATTCAGTTGAATTTAAAACAGGCCTACCTATAAATTTTCGCGGACCACTAAATGGCTGCGGGCTTATAACATAGTGGACAGCATAGATCTATACAATTTCAATTCATCATGTAAATACTGAACGGAATTGAATCATATTTGGACTGGTATTCCTATTTGAGATTCATCTTTCACAAATATTGTAGTTTGCAAGTGATTCCCGTAGCTTAAATTGACGCATCGGGACTTTAACGAGAGAGCCCAAAAATGCAGAATTTTCTGTGGCTCCATATTATGTGTTTTGACACGCTAAGCTTTTTTTGTGGGGGTGGGTGCGTTGGGGGTGGGGGTGGGGGTGATTGGGGATTTGGATAAATAAAAAACGACATGTATAACGTAGTAATGTCGTTACTAACTTAGCATAGTCAACTGTGTCCAGTCCTACTGAATCTTATAAACCTCAACATTTTCTAAATAACCAAAATATTATCAACTTGCATATAAACTTATTTTCATAGATTACAATTTAAGAAGAAAACGGGGTGTTTTTTTTATTTTTTTTAATAATATGTAAAGAAATAGTAATTATCACAAATCGTGTGAAAATATAGTTGGTTTTCAACATACATTAGACTTTTTAAGTATATTCAAAAATATTTTTCTATGTTAAATCTATCAGATTGGGAATTTTTAATCGTCATTGAACGTATGTATTACATATGCCAATTCACTTGACGTGTAAATTTCACCAAGCTGACTGGCCGTGCACATGTTGTTCAAATTTCAAAAATATTTTTCTATGTTAACTCTAACAGATTTGGAATTTTTTAATCGTTGTAATAGTGAAGCACGTTGAACGTATATATATGAGCCAATTCACTAAACGTGTAAATTTCACTATGTTGATTGGCCTTGCACATGCTTTTGGTCAAATTTCAAAAATATTTTTCTATGTTAAATCTAAAAGACTATGAATTTTTAATCGTTATCACAGTGAAACACAAGCCAATTCACTAAACATGTAAATTTCACTATGTTGATTGGCCTTGCATATATTTATTTGTTAACATTCAGTTGTTTATATTTATAGGAGATGGGTTAAATATACAATCCCCCTTCTTCAATCTCATTCATTTATGAATTAAATACTGTTTATATTATTATAAAACAATAATCTAACAAATTTGGGAATTCCTGTTGATTATACTGTTATAGATCTTTGCATGTTTATTAAAGGCTCAATACCACTCTTGTAACTAAATAATATGTCCCAATCTTTATTCTTGTCAACAAATTGTACTATTTTACAATATTCCAATTAATTGGTAACATAAATTTCATCTTAACACACCTAATTTAAAAAATTGGAAAAATGCGACTAAGTGATTTGAAAAGCCTGACGTAAAGCTTTTCAAATGTGACTTGGATTTAAAAATATTTTTGAACCCTCTGGAAAAGTAAAATAGGATTTAATGGATAATTTACACAACAGGTAGAACACTAACACATCTAGTACTACAATAATTAAATTGAACTAGAATTTTGATTAACAATAATTAAATTTAACTAGAATTTTTATTAACAATAATTAAATTTAACTAGAATTTTTATTAACAATAACTAAATTCCGATTCAAGATTTCCAAATTGTATTTACTCATTCCACTTTTTTTTAAAAAAAAAACAAAACAAACTAAAATCAATAATTTGTCGCTCTACATGCGGTCCTCTTCAAACCTTTATAAAGGATAAATACTACGATATGAAAAAAATAGGTCCTTAACTTATATCATTTACCTGGGTTTTTTTGTAAATGCAAAGGTGTGGTTTATCATTATTGGGTGGGTTTGTCAGATAACTCTTGTGCTACAACATCAGTTATTGTGAAATAATATTGTCATGTTTGAAAATACTTGACACTGTGGACCCCGCCTCTTCTGCTGTATAATTATCGCTAATTATTCCACAAAGCATCGTCGATTATCGTATAGTCAGTTTATTTCTCGCTTTATTGGAACGAAATCGCTGATATCAGAGTATATTGCAGCGATACATCAATCAAATTACTTTTACCAGTCGATCAAAGAGTTCCTGTCGATCGCATCACTATCAATAACAAAACGACGCCTGTGGTTCGCCGATAAGTAATCACGTGATCATATATCTCCGCCCCTAATACAAATATTTGTAATTGAATGATAATGTCGTAGTATTTTGGGTATCTAATATCAAATAAGAGGCATGGTATGAACTAAACAATATTACTAGACAGCTATATTTCATTAACCGAAAAATCGAACCGAGAAGAAGGATATAAAATATTAGAAGAAATTGAAATCATTGGTTCAAAATAGTAATTGAAATTACCAAGGAACGATAACCATTCATAAGGAAATATATTTAAACATTAATACTTACTTAGTGCTTAGTGTTTCCATTAGTGATCAATAATGTGGAGGACTCATTGCTTTTATTTGTGATTTGTGACATTTTTACGAACGAAATATGATTCATCCGTTGAGTCAGCAACATTCGAACCTGTTTTCTGGGACCATTCCAGGGATGTACACAGGCGTATCGTTACCCCAGAATCACGGATCGGCGTTTGTTGGTGCCACTGGACAGACTTCATTTTTAATAGACGATATACTCGGAAATCCGTGCTCCTCGGCTAATATGACATTATCCCCCAAATCTAACTTGGCTCGACCAACGCCCATCAACCCCGTTACCTTACAAACGAACTCATTAACGGGGCCGTTATCGGCTTCTAACCTTTACAAACCGTTAGCCATATACGATCCGTCCGTTTTATCCCCGGCATACCTACCACACATGGGTTACCCCGGGGCTTACGTCAATCCAGCAGTTTATTCTTTACCATTTAACAGATCTGAACTCAGTTTATTAGACAGACATCTACCCTTTACAAAAGGTAAGAGTATTTCTAGAACACCGGATACCATTTTTATCTATACGAGAAATTCATATAGCTAACCATTGTATGTTTGTATTAAAATAACACTATCGTATTATATTTACTGGAATATGTTGGGGGTGGGGGGTGGCGGAGTGGGATTGGGGGATTCTTAATGATCATTTTTCACTGTTACTCTACATTATTATTCTTTAATATTATATTTGATAAGGAAAAAAATTGCTTAATATTTCCACATAGTAAGCAAGAAATGATTGTATGATTAACATATATTCACATTATTAGCATCCTATATTAGTGTATTCTCAACGATATTTTTCACCAAAATGAATAAAAGATTCTCATATTATTGAACCTAATATAATTATAAATCTATTCTCAACGACCATTTAACCAAAATCTAAGAAATGGATGTTCAAATTATTTAAAATCCTATTATTATTAATGTATTCTCAATAACAGTTTTCACCAAAATGTGAATCTTGCATAAGTGTTCTAATTACAATTACACTAAGAATTGTACAAATGTACATAGGTAAAGAGAAGATTTACAATTTTCTATTAAAATACATTTACCTGTTAAACCCCTGAATAAATTCACCTGTAGATTTGTTATCACACTGGATTTTAAACATAACAGTTGTAAATCAGTATAGTTGTTACATATATGTTTACCTGCTCTCTACACTGACAGTTAAAATACTTAAAGTAGCAATATACATGTATAGTTATTGTGTATAAAATCCAACCACCTACAGGGACTTAAAACATTCTATATTATGGTCATATTGTAAACTAATTCTATTATACAAACATCCATTTTTCTCAAATATAACGTGTGAATACTCTAATTCTTAAATTAGTAGGCTACCTAATTAATGTATGTTCACAGTAAGTGACGTTATAGAGATATAAATATTGGGCATTATTCAAGAATATTTTAACTACATAAGCTTCAACTGTTATAATTTTTGAATTAATATACAAATTCAACACATTGGTATGATAAAAGATTAAATAATGACAACAAATTATTTTGGCTTGTACATTTATATACTTATTGTCTATTAAGGTGGAGAAATAAAATATAAACATGAGTTATTGTCTTGAAATGTATGTTTAGCAAAACAAAACATACTCCACTTTTTTTCTAATCTTAATCTAATTGTTTTATTCATAATAACACAACTTTACAGATTTACTACTTCTTGGTGTATTACATGCAACGTTTCAATACTCTTACGGGTATCTTTTTTATTACACGCAACGTTTCAATACTCTTACAGGTATTTTTTATCGTTCAGTGATCAATAATGACTACAACCATATACTCATAACAACACTAATTAAGATAATAATCTATTCATTTGAACATGGTTTCCTAATCTTTGTTTTATTGGAAACATCATATTATTAAAGCATACATTAATATAATAATATTATTCTTTGATAGGTATTTAGTAACTGGATAGAGAAGCAAACTATATATATAACAAATGCCTATGGAACAAAAAGAGAGAAATGGGGTTTAACGTCCACTCAACACATGGTTCATTTTTATTTCAATAATTCGCTTGTGCGTAGGGGTCTTCACCGGGGGGGGGGGCTGAAGAAAACCCACGATGTTGGACAGGCGACCCTACTCCTTGCAATGTATAACCGGTGAATCGATACCACGCTAGATGACTCAATGACAGACCTTATGATACAGCGCGAACGTGCTAACCATTCCCCTATCCACACCGCCCCCCCCCCCATATGGAAAACACTCTTCGAAATATCGTATTATACAAGCATACATTAATCAAATAATATTCTTTGGTGGGTATTTAGTAACTAAATAGAGTAGCAAACTATAACACATACTTATGGAAAACAGCTAATCTTTGATAACGTACAGCGAATACTCTTTGAAACGTTGTCCTAATATAGTAGTAGCCGTTTTCCATAAGTGTGTATTATATTTTATCATTAATAGAATAGTAATAATAATTAACAAATTTAAACCTTCTTAAGCTAAGCATGGCAATCAAATACTTTATATACCACTGATCATTGCCAAATAATATATAATTACAAAAACATTAAGAAACGTTATAAAGCTTTTTATACTTTATATATCGGGAGTCATTTTAAAATGATATATAATAATGAAAATATTAATAACGCTTATTATACTTTGTATATCAGGAGTCATTTTAAAATGATATATAATAATGAAAATATTAATAAAAGTTATGAAGCCCTACTTAATACACAATAGCATATATAATGTAATAAAACAGAAATGGTATGAAACTTTATACTAACACACACCAGCATAGAATAAAATATTGAATTTATGATACTTTATTGTTAATATACAACAGTATAATAGATATATAAGAACAGTTATGATACTTTTATTAGTAATATATACAACAACATAATAGATATATAAGAACAGTTATGATAGTTTTATTATTAATATATACAACAACATAAATTATAGAATAAACTGTTAACACAAGTTATGAAACTGTATTACTAATATTCAACCGCATAAAGATCAAAACATTAAGGAAAGTATTGGCAGTTTGTTACTAATTTAGAACAAAAGAATAAGGAAAGTTATGAAACAACTTTGTACTGATACACACCAACATAGAGAGCAAATTGTGCAGTAACTGCTATAAGATAACAACCTGAGGCTAGTAAAGATTTTGGGAAACAAGATTTTTAAATTTCAAGATTATATCTTTATATATCTTATCATGTAATTTTATCTAATCTTAAGTATCAAAACCATAATCTATCCTAATTTATATTGAATACGTTAGTCTTAAACTCCCGATTGCGTGAATAAAATACCGTTTTATGCTTTATAAACTAAATGAAAATGGACTCGATCGTACAAATAAAAGACCATTGTGTCAATTGAAACGTTTACCAAACAGAATAATTTTAAAATGATCTATACTCGTTTGATTGTCTTTGACAAGTTTGGGGTCATCGCTATTTTCGAAAAAAAAACCCCATATAGATAGATTTTTATCAGTAAAGTATTTTCACATATACTTAATAGATTTTAGAATAATACGAACAAGTCAAAGATGTTGACGTTAAGAAGTAATATCGTACATATAGGGGATGCTTTGAAGATGTTATCAAATGAAATCAGAACTACATCAACAGAAATTTATTGCCCAATAATATTTTGTAAACCTTTTCACGCCTATCTGTTAATTCTTTATTTGTCAAATTATCGGGCAATTTGATATTATTCCGACAAAAATCTTTCTTCAGGGTATTACCGATTTGCTTGACCTGACGTTAGAGGTAGCCGTCGTTTTAATTTAAATCACAAACAAATTTTATGTATGAATATTAACAAAATCTTATGTATGAATATAAACTCAATTTTATGTATGAATATGAACTACATTTTATGTTATGAATATCAACAAAATTTATTCATAACGTAATCTAAAGATTAAGTTGTATCTAATGAGGGGGGTTGGATGGCTGAATGGTTAGCGCATGCGTGCTGTATTATAAAGTCTGTCATTGAGTCTACTGGCGTGGTTTCGAATCCCCGGTTGTATGTGACAAGGAGTAGGGTCGCCTGTCCAACCTCGTGGGTTTTCTCCGGGTCCCCCGGTTTCCTCCCACTGCTAAAGACCCCTACGCGCAAGCGAATTATTGAAATAAAATTGAACCATGTGTTAGCCCCGAAATGACATAGTTTGTGTCGAGTGGACGTTAAACCCCATTTCTCTCTCTCTCTCTCTCTCTCTCTCTCTCTCTCTCTCTCTCTCTCTGTATCTAATGAATAGTCTTGCAGTCTCTCTGAATCTGGTTTGATTCCATATTTTTGATGGTTTGAGAAACGGTTAAACATAACGCAAATATGTCTAATTAATATATACAATCTGATTAAAACACAGATCCTATTTCGTTTCGTTTTTTATAGTTCAACGTTTTGTTTTACTTGTCTTCACTACACTAGTGGAGGTCATCGAAAGTATAAAAACAATCTAAAGGAAATATAGATCTGTATTTCAATCAGATTGATTAATACACTTCGTCTTCATTATCCCGGTCTGTGCAGAACCGTAGGACGTTAAACCCCCTTTTATTTCTAATTATTACAAAGGAATTGAAAATATTGGATATTGTAACATATTTTTTGCATGTACTATTCAATACTACATTTGAACTTCGATATACAATAGATGAAAAAAAACCCCATCATGATTGATTTAATTGTATAAACTTCCAGTTACGGCTTTATATTGTAAAACCGCAGTCCTGCGTACAATTTTGCACACACGTAAAAGTACTCTTGACAGTTGGAATTTGACGAAGAATATGTTCGGTGTATTGTTCCTCATCGCACTATATGGTGTATGCCCAATCTTCGTTAGCTCTGGTGTGTGTGTGTGTGTGTGTGTGTGCGGCGGGGGTGGGCTGTTAACGCGTGCGCGTTGGATCATATGATCTGTCATTAAGGCAAGTGGCGTGGTTTCGATTCCACGCTTGATCGTAGCAAGGAGTAGGGTCGCCTGTCCAACCTCGTGGGGTTCCTCATTGCTAAAGACTCCTACGGGCAAGCGAATTATTGAAATAATATTGAACCATACGTTAGGACCTTCAACCCATTTCATTTCATTTCTGATTTTCTAAACAGATCAGTTCTTGTAAAGAAAGGTAATAACTATAGACGTATGCTTCGCCTCATTTTAAATTTGTTCCTTTTGTTAAGTTCTTTAGTTATCACAGGGCGGTAAGTACTTTTGTGCAGTTCTGGGTTTGACCGTCGAGATATGGTCGAAATTATCAATTTCTGCTCTCTCGGTCCAGTCTATAAAAACAGATAAAAAACGATAAAATGTGTGCAGAATCATAAGATAACTTACTATTAATTCCATAGACATGAAGTCAATATACGTAATAGGATACTATGTATATTATAGCGAGAGATAATTCTGAAAAAACTATTGGCGGGGTTTTCATAT